CGGGAGCCCGGGGCCGCGGCGGCGGGGGGGATGGAAGCAGCGCCGGCCTCCGGCCGGGCAGCCTGCGGTGGTGACGGCGTGAGGCCGTTGCGATTGAGCCCACCCTTTCCTTCTCGTAAACGGGGACCGAGCTCGTCTTTGGGAGCAGAAATGCAAATATCGTTTTGTCTGTGTTCAGTGGGAGGCATTTGCTTTTTAATCCCAGTATTTTTGCGACTTGCAAAAATGATAAAGAGAAAGCCTTTTTCATGATTAATTTATTCTGTGAGTAGATGTTGGATGGAAGCTATCAAGTAGTGAAATGACTATATTTTTGAAGCAAGAATTTCAGTGTTTGTATGATACTTAGGAGTTTCAGGGTGGCACCTGAGCCACCTGAGTAATAAAACTAATTCTTGTTTTGGTGGGGATTTTTCCTCTTCAGCTACTATGGAGAATAATGAAAGTAACGCTAAGGATGTGAAGAGTGTCTCAGATGAAGATGACAGCGGAGACATAGTTCAACAGAAAACTCAGGAAGAAATACTCTTTCATGAGGAAACCATTGATCTTGGTGGAGATGAATTTGAGTCTGAAGGGAATGAAACTGTATCAGAAGATTCAAATAACTTTGTAGATAAACTTAATGAACAAATGATGGAGAGTGTCATTATTTCAGATTCTCCAAACAACAGTGAAGATGACACAGGTGAACTTGGTTGTTTGCAAGAGATTGTAGAACAAATGGAAGCTAAAGATAATCAAAAAACACAAGCAGAAGTGGATAAAGAATTTTTAAGTAATGAGAGTGAAACTGAACATGAAGAAACACCCAAAGACATTTCTGAGATTGGAACAGATGATCAGGCATCTTTAAAGGAAGAATCCATTCAGGAAGCAGTGAAGGAGGAGCCAAAGTTGGGAAACAATGTTCCTGTTGATACAAAACCAAATAATATTGATGAAAGCAAACCTGAGGACCAGATATCGTCACCCAGTGCTAGCAAACCGTCTCCTGAGGCTGAGCCTATTCCTGTGTGTACCATCTTCAGCCAAGCAAACAATGCTAATACCCAGCCACAGTTGTTTCTGCCTGACGGTTTTGAGCCTCAGATGGTAAAATCTCCCAGTTTTAGCAGTATAATTGAGACTCCAGTGAAGTCTAATCCACAGGTGGTTCAACCAAGTCCTAGTCTAAGCAAGTTCTTTGGCGACACTGTTAACACTAATACTTTAGCTTCTGATTTTTTTGATTCATTTACCACATCCAATTTTATATCTGTTAGTAACCCCAATGCAAGCTCTTCAGTTCCAGAACAAATGTCCTCTCTTTCTAATGATGGAGACAGTTCTTGTGCTTCATCTAACCCTACTTTCTCTGCAGAAAATGGAAGACCTGAAGCAGGTGGTCCTCCGTCATCTCTAGAAATAACTCAATCCCCCAAGCCCTTCTCACAAATCCAAGCTGTTTTTGCTGGGAGTGATGACCCATTTGCCACAGCCTTAAATATGAGTGAACTAGATAGAAGAAATGATGCTTGGCTTCCTAGTGAGGAAACCAGGAATGTTCTAATTTCAGTTGCCACACAACAATACAGCACCGTCTTCATAGATAAAGAGAATCTCACCATGCCTGGATTAAAATTTGATAATATCCAGGTAAGAGTCTATTGTTGTATCTTAGTGTATGATTATATTTTAGAAATATTGTATTAGAGCTATCCAATAATCTGTATATCATAGTGCTTCATATTGTTGCTGATGGTCACCTTGTGTATATTACTTCAATCCTTATTAGAAAATTTGATGTCACTGCCTACTCATACGTGAAGGGGCTAAAACCAGATCTGATTTATTCATAGTAAAATTTGTTGGGTACGTTGAAAACCAGTGTTGACAGTTTCCATAGAATCCAAAGCTGGTTATATTTTTAATTAGTTTCAGTTAGTTTCTGGTCCTCCTAGTTAGTAAGATAGTGCTCACATTTGGAATATATACAAAATCAGTATTCAGACTTTGTAGTACAGCAAGCAGACAGCTTGCTTTCCCTGTGGAATTCACTGTTGCAACCAAGTGGGAAATTTCATTTTTCACTGATGTTCACAGTGCTCTTAATAATGTTAACACTGACTGAAATCGCATCATCTGTATCTTCCCTAAGCAGTGGAAAAGTATAACCTGTAGGAAAGATTGAGTGCTGGAGCAAGCTACTGGGAAGGGATAACCCCAAAATTAAAGGGAAAACTCCAGATGAGATCGTGAAGGGAAAAACATAGTAGTGGAAACCCATTTCCTTCTCTTCTGTCAGAGTTCCCAACTAGTGAGAAGGCATAGTGTTTTTTCAGAATCTGAGAAACTTCACTCGGATCTATTCAGTATTTCTCATGAAGCAATTTTATCCTGGATGCTCAGCCAAGGCTAACTATTGTAATGTAATTTTTTTTGTTGAAATAGGCTAATCCTACTTTTCATATCTGTGTCTCTGGGTAATAGAATTGTTGTCTAGAAGGATGGTGTTGAGGTTTTGGATACTTTCATCCTCTGCAGCAACTTCCCAATCTGCAGGAACTATCAGAAAAGTTTCTGGAATGAATCAGGTCCAAATTTGTAGCTGAATTATCTCACAAACCTTAGGTTTCTGTCACAAGCAACAAATGATACCAGTTTTAGACAAATGCCGTGCTTCTGCTACTTCTTGGGTTAGCTTTATCTTAAAACAATTGTTTGTTGTCACAGAGCCCAGTAATCAGTGTGGAAGAAAACACTGTAATAAGAAGCTACACCTTCTCCACTCCTCCAAAAAAAAAATGGAAGGGTCTTTCCCACCTTCCCCAAAGAATCCCTTAGACCTTGATGAATAATTCAAGAGTGTGTATTATTTCTTTCCTGACAGCTAATGGGATGGACAGCAGGGATGATCCCTTCTGCAGGCCCCAAGGATGAGGTCCTCCTTACTGCAGGCCTCCTTTTTTACAATAGCTCTGTCTCCCCTTCCTCAGTCCAGTCAAGGATTCAAAACTATTTTGTGCTGGTGATTCCCTGAATCTGGGCACGTGAATATATACAGATCTATCATTTAGTACATAATTGAAAGAAGACGTTATGGCAATGTGCATGTGATGTATTTCTACAGTAAGACCTGATGTAAAATCATCAATGGAATTAAAGGGGATTCCTGCTGCTTTCTTCATTGGTTATAATTTGTAAGCAGTCACATAGCCATGTCAGCAGGGACAAGTTTTGAAGTGCTATATGTTTATACAACTCTCCTCACTTCCAGTTACGGGTTTTCAGTGGCCTGAGTGCACACCTTGACTTACCTGGTATCCCCTAGTTTGGTATCATTGTTCCATACGTTGCTGGTATTGCAAATTGTGTATTTAACTGAAACTGTAATTGTAAAGTACTTGAAATGTCAACTGAAACATTGGGAAGCATGTTTTCAATGTTAAATCAGCTTCCAGCAGCGTTCATTAAAGCTTTGGTATGAATACTTTGCTAATGCTAAATGTTAATGCAAGATGTTAAACCAGGCTGCGTGCAGTTGACAAAGAAGTTAGTTGAAAAGTGCATTTACAGTGAACTGTAAGTGTGCTTCAGGGAAGGACTGAAATTTTATATGACGTATAATGAAGAGCTCAGTACTTTTTTTTTTTCACTGTTCACGCAGAAAGTGTTTGTTCTTACTGCAAGTGTGTTGTCTTAAAAGTTAAGTGGATAAATCACACCAAGAAAAATACACAATGTTCTCAATTTCAACTGCATGCTACTTTTTGCTGATCATTCAAGAAACATTATTTTTTAGCCTATCTTGGATTGCGTATGGTACAGATTATCTGAACCTGTGCTCTCTTAAGCATGGGAACAAGCTAGAGCACTGCTTTTTATGCTTTTTCCATTATCCCTTTCTTCATTAGTTAATGTCTGCTGTCATGATGTCCTTTGTTTCATTACATTCATTTGTAATGTTTCTTCCTCCAAAGTACTGTTGCGGGGGGTGTTACAAATTCTTTTGGATTTATGTTATTTTGCACACAATGTCTTTTCTTAACCCTTCAGACTCTTCTGTCTGAAAGATGGAAATCTGGTTTATTCATAAGATAGGTGACAGCATCAGAGGTAACAATTTTCCATGTAGTGAAACAGTAGTTGCAGTCTGATTCCTCAAGAAACTAGACAGAAAACAGAAACATATTTCCAATCGCTGACCATGAGGAAAGTGCAAACAGTTAATATCAGTTATCTTCATCATAGGTAAGCTTTACTGTGTTCTATGCAGCTCACTTTTTTTTAGGCAAAAGGCCTTGTGGCTTGCTTTCTGCGCTCTGTGCTAACAGCTTCCTGCCTCAGTTCTTCAAGTGAATGTTTTTGTATTTCTTTAGAGCGATATTTGCAAATATTCCTTTGTATGCTTATATTTTTGCATAGTCACTTTGTGCTTTAACACCTTAAATATTGCATACTGTTCTAGTTAACACAGATCTGAAAGGACATAATGAAATACAAACAAATTGGAGAGAGAGGAGGTGTGGTGAGGAGCGCAGAGGTTCTCTCTTGTGAGTGGTAGCTAAAAGGAAGAGGACCTTTTGACTTACAAGAGCAGTCATGATCTAAAATTCATAAAAGCATTAAGGTAAATAGAGGATTATGATTCGCTGTTTTTTATGGCAAAAGAACTGATGAGTAATAAGCATAGCAAAAGGAGTTACTGTTCTGCAGCCCATGTAACTGGTTTTAATTTGTAGAATTCATTGCCCTCAGATTTACTTTTGTTGAGAAAAA